GGGTGGGTGGGTGGGTGGATGGATGGATGGATCATGGATGGATCATGGATGGATGGATGGATGGCCGGATGGATGGGTGGACGGGTGGACGGGTGGACGGGTGGACAGATGGACGGATGGGTGGATGGATGGATGGATGCATGCAGTGGGACTTTTATCAGACTTAGAGACAAACACATCCTGTAATCTGAGGACACTGAGCAATGTGAAATAAACCATCACAATAGGAAGATGCTCTATGACTGCCCACGTGTAGCTTCCGGAGAAGTCACATTTACAGAGACAGAAAGCAGCATGGTGGCTGCTGGCGTGGGCAGAAGGGGAAATGATGAGTTCGTGTTTATCAGGCACACGCTTTTGTTATACACGATGAAGACGTTCTGGAGATCAGTGAAGCGAATTTACTGGCCTGTGCACTGGATGAGATGGTACACTTCAGATTGCTCGAACCCAGTGACAAAAGCCCTGCTTCTGAAATCAGGTGAGGTGAAGACAGAGGTGAAATTCTTGGTAGGGGAAATGGCTACTTTATCTGATCTCACTCAGTGTCGGGCACAGCTAGAGGCTGTCCTCAGGGCTGCTGCCTGCTGACTCATGTGCCATGCCCAGGTAGAAGGATTCCCCGGGTGGACCAGGGCACCTAGTGTCACCTGGCTGAAGCTGCTGGCAGAGGAGAACTGGCGGAGCCCGCTGCAGACCCTGCTTCCCCCACCTCTCATCCTGCAGAAGGTCGATTTCCTGGGAGCCTTCCTCTCCCTTGGGCTAGACCTCCTCTGTGGCATGAAGACACTGTGAGTGCCGGCATCAGAGTGTGCTAAAAACCAGATGAGTGTTTGCACTTCAGGTGTGCTCCCAGTGGCAAGCAACGGCTGGTTCTGTGTGAGATCTAGTCACACACCTGGCCCTGCCCAGAGCCCCTGGAGGGGCTGTGCCCCCAGATGGAGGTGTCCATCATCTGGCCAGCAAAGAAGAGAGCAGGAGCAGGCACGCTGCTGGGTGTGCCAGCACACGTGGGGACGGAGGCTGTCCTGGATGAATCAGAGGCCCTTGGAGTGGAGGCCCAGACATGGGCACTTTGACTTGGGACAGTGCTTTCACTTTGAAGGGCTCCCCTGGGCTTCCTTTTGCAGCCATTTCCTGTTGGGAGACATTGGCTGGGGACCTGGGGCCTCATGCATCCAGGTACTTTGGTGTCTTTTTTTCAGCAGGACTTCTGAGGCATCTCTAGCCCTGGATCCGGTCAGCCCCAGGGAAAAAGTCCTGCCTGGCCCATGACCTTGAACTCCAGGGCGCAGCTCCGGATACCACCCTGCCTGCACCTGCCTGGCCCGCTGCCCTTGGAACCTGGCAGGTCTGCACCTGCCATTTACCTGTCCCTGCCCCGCCCCTTGCCTGCAGACTGGACGGAGGAGGAGACTAGGGCAGCCACCACGAGGCTGAGATTCCCGCAGGTGCCTGGAGTGGGTTGGGGGAGTCGAGCCTGGAAGATGCGCCCTGGGGCTTTGGGTGAGTGGGGCCCACGGTGGTGGGGGAGAGGGGCCTGGCCGGAACCTGCCACAGGAGGCAGATGAGTGGGCGTGGTCACCAGGCCACCTCCTGTTAGCCTGGGGCTGGGAATGGGGTGTGGATCGGAGGGGCTGGGCTGCTCCTCCCTCCGTCCCCCTCCCCACCCGGGATCACGGTGGGTGGTGTGACATCTCACCTGGAGTGGGCCCCAAGCTGGTCCTTCTGCAGCAGATGTCTTGGGCCTTTGCCAGACTGGGCCGGCCCCTACCCGTGAGGGACACCCCAGGACCCCAGGTGGGGCTTCTGTGGCTGGGGTAGGAGCCCGGGAACCTGTGACAAGCAAAGAGGACAATGCAACAGCCTCCTCAAGGGGAGGAGCCCCGGGGGTGCCTGGTGACAGTGACTGGCACAGTCCCGAGCGTCTTCTTGGGCTGGCCTCACCTCCCTCGTTTATCCCAAGTGCCTGACACCAGCGGGGAGGAGAGGCAGGAGAACCCCGCTGCACCCGGCCCGCCCTGTGGCGCGGAGCCTTCTGCTCCACCCTGTCCCGGTCCCTGACTCGCCCGGTACCTGCCTGGACCCACAGGACAAGGCCACTTCCATCCTTGTCCTGGGGTCTCTCACGCCAGGAGGCTGCAGTTGTGGGAACCCTGCCACTTAAGATTTCCACCTCTGTACAAAAGACTCGATTTTTTGTTTTTCTTTTTTTTGGTACCGGGGATCAAACTCGGGTCCTTGCGCTTGCGCAGCAGGCGGAGAAACCACTGAGCTAAATCCCCGGCCCCAGTGTATTTTTTTTTTTTTATCTTTTATATATACTTGTAGAGTTACCTTTATTGGGTCTCTTTTTCTGTGTGTAATTGCTATTTGGGGTTACTTGCTTTCAACCTGAAGAGCTCTTTTAGCATTTAAGTCAAGTTTGTTAGTAAATTTTTCTGATTTTGTTTGTCTAGGAACGTCTCTGTTGTGTCTTTAGTTTTGAAGGATAGCTTTCCTTTATATAAAATTCTTGATTGACAGCGTATTTTTTAATTAATGTATTTACTTATTTTTGTGATACTAGGGATTGAACATGGGGTCTTTGATCTTTTTATTTTTTATTTCGAGACAGTCTCGCTAGATCTCTTGAGTTGTCCAGACTCGGCCTGAAGTTGTGGTCCTCCTGCCTCAGCCCTCCCAGAGTGCTGGGATACAGGTGCAAGTCACCTGTGCCGAGCTAAAACACACATACTTTTAAAAGAACCATTTTTTATGAACAGCAGTTTTTGCTGACGTGTGGGTTGTGTTTATGGACAGAGCTCCGTGTGTGTGTTTGTGCGTGTGCGTGCATGCATGTGTGTGTGTGTAAATACTGTGTGTTTGTGATCATCACGTTATATTGCCAATCTAGTCTGTGTGTCTATGCTCTATGATCTTTGTACAAGGAGGAAATCACCTATGGACACAGTTCTCAGAGTCCCTTCATGCAGTGACACGTGGAAGTGTTTATATAACCTAGAAAGGGCGGGCCTCCGGAGGGCGCTGTCAGCACTTTGCCCCTTTGCCGGTCACTTGTGGGAAGGGCTGAGTATTGCCAGAGCTTGCCCACCCCTGCGACTCTGCCCATGGCCCTCATGACTCGTCCCGAGAGTGAGGTGGCCCTTTCATCTACGGCTCCGCCTCCCAGATAATACACACCGGGCTTGTATGTGAAAGCCCTGTTGCTTTTGATGTTTTGTTTGCTTGGTTGTGATACTGGGGGTGGAACCAGGGCCTCAACCTGAACTCCATCCCCAGCCGTTTTTTAATTTTTTATTTGAATTAGGGTCTCACTAGTCGCTAAGGTGCCCAGGCTGGGCTTATACCTGAGGTCCTCCTGCCTCAGCCTCCCAGAGTGTTTGGATTACAGGATGCACCACCACACCTGGGCTGCACTTTTGATCTCGTGAGCTGAAGATTTGAGGCAGCTTTGGAGTGGGCAGTGGCCTTGACGGTTTAGTTCCGCTGGCTTGGTTTGTTGAAGCAGACCTGCAGATGGAAGGGTGACTCGACCCTGAAGCACGGCCATGCCCTTGCCATTCGGCCTGCCTGTGGGTGTGAGTTCCCCAGCCCGGGCACCAGGTCCTGGAGCCCACGGGCAGCTGAGCCCTGAAGTGCGGCCCAAGCCTCGGCCCTCCTGGCTGGAAGTCGCAGAGGCGGGTGATTCACACACAGCTTGGCAGGCGCTAGGCACAAACATTGGCGATCAAGAGTTACCCTCTTCCTGCAGCCCTGGGGCAGGGGCACAGGCAGCCGAGACGCCTCTGCTCAGCCTCCTCAAGGGGAGGAGCCCCGGGGGGGCCTGGTGACAGTGACTGGCACAGTCCCGAGCGTCTTCTTGGGCTGGCCTCACCACCCCACCCCCTGTTTATCCCAAGTGCCTGACACCAGCGGGGAGGAGAGGCAGGAGAACCCAGCTGCGCCCGGCCTGCCCCGTGGTGCGGAGCCTTCTGCTCCACCCTGTCCCTGTCCCTGACTTGCCCGGCTCCCGGCCTCTGCCACACAGCCTGTGCTGTACTGGAGCCTGGGGCACTGGTGCCCGGGTGGCGTCCTGACCTACACAGAAGGGCCACTTCCACCCTTGGCCGGGGTCTCTCATGCCAGGAGGCTTGGCTGCAGATGCGGGAACCCCTGTGTATGAAATACTCATATTCTCGCTTTTGATTGGGTACTTACGGCTCTCTGCTGACGTCTTCCTGGTGCCCCCCCCCGTCAGCAGGCGCCTTCAAGGCCGCATTCCTGGTCTTCGCCTCCCTTGGCGCCTGGTTCTCGGGGTACCTGCTGGTGGAGCTCCTTCCTGAAGTGCAGCTGTCCAGCACCGTCTACAGCATCCAGAGCATCGGTGAGAAGCCCATCCTCAGAGGTGAGCCCAGGGCTGCGGGCAGCACCCCCAAGCCTGCGGCCTGACCGTCACGTGATCGCTAGAGGCTCTGGGTCTAACCCCAGAGAGGTCCAGGTCCCCAGTTGTGGAGGCATGTTAAGTTTTCTACGGAGTGAGTCAGGCCCGGTGGCACATGTCTGTAATCCGGGCACCTGGGAGGCTGAGACAGGAGGATCACCACAAGTTCAAGGCCAGCTTGGGCTACCTAGTGAGACCCTGTCTCAAAAAAGGTAAAATCTAAAGGAGTGAACATCTTGAAAACCATCTTTGAAGCAGCAGTGAGTTTTGGAAAGGACTTGAGAGAAATATCAGGCACCTAGAAGGAGTCTCCCATCAGTACCCAGAAGGGGGTCTCAGCCTGAAGCCTAGGGCAGGGGAGCTATCTGCCAGGGGCCCCTCTGTCACCCCGAGCATCAGCCCTGATGCCGCTTCTCCTCTGCCTGCCACCAGGCCACAGCCAGGTGCAGCAGGAGCAGAGCCAGGCTCTCTCTCGAGTTCTGCAAACAGCGGACGCCCTGGACAGAGGGTGGCAGGGCGGGGTCTCAGGAGGGAACAGCCTCGATGCTGTCTGGCATGTTTCTGAACCCGGAGTCCCAGTCCCCACAGCTACTGTGGCAATGCCACAGCCCGGGCAGCTGGGCAACCCCAGAAATCCGGTCCTGTGGTCCCAGAGGCTGAGATCAAGGCACTGGCGGAGGTGGCCCGCGACAGCAGCTCTCTGGGTCACTGTGCTCTTCACTTCCTGATCTCTAGCGGATTTGGTAATCCCCACTGCCACAAAGACCGTGTTGTCTCAGAAGGAAAACCCCACAGCCAAAGGCCATTTATGTAGCAGTTCAGCAGGGGTCGAACCGACCCGACGCTGCGTGCATAGCCAAGATCCACCCTCGATGCTGGGAACCCTGAGGGCACCGGGCCCGAGCCTGAGAGCCAGACCATAACGGTCAGGTAGGAAATGGACCACGGAAGCTTGGCGACCCAGTGCCTCGTGGAAGAATGGGGAACAGGTGCAATTACGAAATTCCTTGCGGACCTGCAGGACACCAGGGAAGCAAGTTGTGGTGCCTTCCTAAACATTTGTGGGAAGTTGATGCCTATCTATTTCTTTTAAGAGTAGGAAAAATTTATTGAGAGAAAGAAAGCTTCTGCCTGAGAGAGACGGAAGGGGGACCAGAAGTGGGTGGCCCGCCCACCCCACTTCTCAAAGGTGTTTCATACAGCAGAGCCATGTGGTGAGGCGGGTACAAAGTGGGAGAAAACTCTAAGACCCAATGGAAATTTACAAGGTGGGCATGAGGTGGGACAAAGCCATGACCAACCAATGAGATTACAAGTGCAGTCACCAGGTGATATTGACTAAATGGGGGTCAGATGGGGGAGCAAGTCACGTAGCAAGCATAGGATTTTCAGGAAGGGTGGGTCAGGGATATTTCCTGGAGAGGCTGGGTTAAGACCTTGACCCCTCATCCAGGTGATTGATACCTACTTAGAATATCAATCACTGGTTCCTCCTACAGGGGTGGTAGTTTCCTTTTTCAGGGCTGGCCTTCAGTGCCTGTGTCTTCACTGTCCTCCATGTTGGCTCCTCCTGGGCTGGCCCTGTCTAACTGCCCACAAGATATCTAATTAACTTACCTATCTGCAGTATCCCCCTCTGAAGAAGGACCCCTAACTGCTGTGAGGGGGCACAGGGGGAAGACCGTTCTGGCTACTTCCGGCGGAAGAGGGTCGTAGTTGTGATCTGCAGTCAGTTACTCTCCAGAGAATCTACCTAAAGGCCTTAGATAGGCGCCAGATGCCTATCTATTTTTAACACCGAAATAAAGTATAAAAAATTAATTTGCACAGGGCCAGGGATTTAGCTCAGTGGTGGTGCGCCTGCCTTGAAAGTGCAAGGTCCTGAGTTCAATCCATGGTACCCCCCCAAAAATTAATTTGTACAAACATAAGCAACTATAAAATGTTTAAAAACTTCTTTGGAAGCCATTCCTTTCATGGGGGAAAAAAAAGAACCTTATAGGAACCAAGTGTGGCTGAGGTATGTTCTCTTTTCTTTTTCTTTTTCTTTTTTTTTTTTCTTGGCTCTTTAACAAGTTTAGTAATCCTGCACTAAACTTTATCTGGAAACTGTTCACTGCTAATATTGGGATGAAAAATAATTTAGGGGGGGTACTGGGAATCAAACTCAGGACCTTGCTCTTGTGAGGCAGGCTTGGTGCCACTGAGGTAAATCCCTGGCCCTGAAAAATAAATTTTAAACATAAAACTCTCATTTGCAAAAGATCTATCTCCAGGTTTCCTTCTTTGGGTCCATTTTTTGCTCTTTGTTTACCCTTTTCCTTAGTGAAATGAGAGATATCAAATGACATTTAAGCTTGTGTGTCTGATTTGTTTCACTTAACATTATATTTTCCAGATGCAACTGTTTTCCTACATATAGCTCAAATTTGTCCTTCTTTATAGCCAAGTAGTACTGCATTGTTTAGAAACCACATTTTCTTTCCATTCACCTGTGGGTGGATGTACAGGCTGCTTCCAGGACTTAGCTATTCTGAATTGTGCTGCTATAAACATAGGTGTGCATGGAGCACTGTAGTATGATGTTTTTAGCTCTTTAGGGAAGATATCTAGAAGGGGAACAGCTGGGTCAAATGAAATTTCTAATTTTAGTTCTTTGAGGAATTTCCATGCTGATTTCCATAGTGGCTGTACTAGTTTACATTCCAACCAACAAGGGAGAAGGGTTCCTTTGCCCCTGCAGCCTCTCCAACATTTGTTATTGGATTTCTTTCTTTTTTTTTTTTTTAAGGAGACAGTTTATTTGAAGGTGGGGGAAAGGGGGGAGACAGAGAGAGAGACAGACAGAATGAGAGAGAGAGAGAGAAGAGGAGAGAGAGCAGACAGGTAGGTATTCTGGATGAGTAGGGAGTATTTGAGGCAGGCGCTGGAACCACTGAGTTAAATCCCTGGCCCGGGTAGAGAGTATTTGAGAAAGAATTACTCCCTTCATTTCTTGATGATTGTCTTTCTTTCTGTTGGGAGATGAAATTGTAGCATTGTTTGGAACTTTTTTTTTTTGGCACCGGGGATCGAACTCCGGTCCTTGTGCTTGTGCAGCAGGCGGTGAAACCACTGAGCTAAATCCCCAGCCCTGTAGCATTGTTTTATTTTGCATTTCTCTAATGACAGGAGATGTTGAGCATTTCTTCATGCATTTATTGCCCATTTGTACTTTTCTTCTGAGAAGTGTCTGTTCATTTCAGTTGCCTGTTTTTGGACTGGGTCTTTTATTTTGGGGAGGGGTCTGATTTTTTTGAGTTCTTTGTATATTCCAGGTTTTAGTCCTCTGAGGAACAGCTGGCAACAGTTTTCCCCCTCTGTAGGTTGTCTCTTCACTCTTGTCAGTTGTTTCCTCTGGAGTCCAGAAGCTTTTGGATTTGCTACGATCCCATTTGTTGATTCTCGCTGTTATTTCTTGTGCAATTAGAGTCCTGTTCAGAAAGTCCTTGTCTACGTATACAACTCCAAGTGTTTTACCTTCCATTAGGGTCATTGTTTCTGTTTAGCTCTGACCCTTTTTTTTTTTTTTTTTTTTTTTGGAGTACTGGGGATGGATCTCAGGACCTTGCACTTGCAAGGCAGGCGCAGCACCACTGAGCTGCATCCCCGGCCCCACAATCCACTTTGATGTAGTTTAGTGCATGGTGTGGGGAGAGACAGTGTGGTCTTTGTCTGGTTTGGGGATCTGAGTGGTGACTCTGGCCTCCGGAAGTGAGTCTGGAAGCCCTCCTTCCCTCAGTTTCATTGGAGAGCTTACCGAGCACTGGTGAGAGAACATCCTAAGTTTTGTAGGATTCACTGGGCCTTTTTTAGTTGTAGGATTTTATTACTGCCTCAGTTGCATCACTTGTTACTGAATCATTCCGAATGTTTATGTCTTCTTGGTTTATTGTGGTTACTTGTACGAGTGTAGGAATCTGTCCTTTGCTTCAGGATTTTCCAGTCTGCAGGAGTATACTTTTTCACAGTAGTTGCTATCTTTTGGATTTCAATGGTGTCTGCTGTGATTTCACCATTTTCATTTCTAATTGCATTGATGTGAGTCTTTTCTTCCTCCTTTTGCTAAGTTTGGTTGAGGGTTTATCTGTTTCATTTGTTCTTTCAAAAAACCAGCCCTTCCATTCGCTGATTCTTTATATTGCTTTTTATTCTTAATTTCATTAATTTCGATCTTTATGATTTCTGTCTTTCATTTCAATTTGGGCTTGGATTTTTGTTTTTCGAATATCTCACGGTCTATTATTAGGTTGTTTGAGCTCACTCTGTCACAGTGCGCTTCCCTCTTATGACTGCTTCCATTGTGCCCCATAGGCCTGGTGCATTGTTCTGGCCTTGGCATTTGATTCCACAATTGCTTAGTTTCTTCCGTGACCCCACTGGCCATTCAGGAGTGTGCTATTGAGTTGCAAGTGTTTCTTAATTTTCCACAGTTTCTACTGTACTTTGTTTCTACTTTCATTGTACAATGGTCTGATAATAGCCATGGGGTAATTCTGATTCTTTCACATTTATTTAACCAGGCTTTATGAACTAATATGTGGTCTGTTTTGGAGAAAGTTCTGTGTGCTGTTGAGAAGATTGTGTGTTCTTTTGTAGCAGAATAAAACGCTCTGTAGAGATCTAGTAAACCCATATATTCAAGCGTATGGTCCAGTCCTGATATTTCTTTATAGATTTTTTGTTTAGTTGACCTGCTCTGGTGACACTGGGGTCATGGGGTATTGGGGTATCACGTACATGTACCAAATACCCACAGTGAATGTCAGCATTCTGTATTGTAAACACAAACTAATAATAATAGTAATGAGAAAGGGAAGGGGGGTCTGGACATGGAGGGAAGGGAGGGGATGTGGAGGGGGGGGTAAGGGAGAGTCCCGCTGTGTTGTGCACATGTCCCCACTGCCTAAGGTGAATGTAAGCTTTACATTCTGCAGATGCACAAATAAAAAGGCGACTGTTATTTGATAGGTTTGCGGGCACAGCTTTTAGCTAAGTTAGAAAAATACTGATCATTCTAGAAGGGTTCTGGCATTCTGGGATGCAATGTCTCCCCTCGTGGCCTGCCATCCCGTCTCTTGGGGCGTGGCTTCTGGCTTCAGTCAGATTTCTCTCTGTTTCCGCTTTGCTTCTGGGGTTCACTGACCCAGCACATGGCTTGCACCAGAGGCAAGATCCCCACCAGGTCATGGTCAGGAAGACGAGGACCTCATGTCCACAGGGTGCAGTCCCTTATTCTCCTCATGGGCATTTTCCTCTTCCGCCCCTTTGGGGTCCTCAGACCCTGTTTGCCTCCTGTACTTTTGCAGCTTCCCCAGGAAGTAAGGCTCCCTTTTCCGGTTTCCCTGGGCTCACCCTTGACTGCTGTTGAGGTAGCAGGGTTGGGTTTCTCGGAGGCTGCTAGCTAATAATACATGAAGCATGGTCAGAATGTGAGGTGGGTGCGTTACAGTAGTACAGTACTGCACCCCTCCATTTCACTGGGGACACACTATCCCATCACTCTGGCTGCTTTCCGCAGCAGCTCTGGAGTCCTCTTTCCTGGGTGTCTTCAGAAGTTGTGATCAAAAATATGGTGACTGCTGCTGCCGAGCACCTCTCAACGGAAAGGCAGCTCATAAAAACATGATGCTGTGTCCTCATCCACTGAGTCACCGGATCTGGCACCGTGTGACTTCCGGCTCTTCCCCAGAGTCAAAATGACCATGACAGGGACAGGTTTTGAATCAACTCAGGACATTGAGGCAGCCAGGACAGTGCAATTAAAGACACTGGTACCTGCAGATTCTGCAGTGCTGAGGTCCAGATGTTCATTCACTCATTTGTTCAGCAAATACAGACAAAGCCACTGCCTGGACCCAGCTGAAATTAGGCAGTGTGATACCTCATGACTGCTTTGGCTGTTCAGGGTCCCTCCAGGTTCCATACAAATTTTAAATTGTTTTTAAATTATTTCTGTGCAGAATCCTATCAAAGTTTTGGTAGGATTGCACTGAACCTATGGGTCACTTCGTGCAGTATGACATTATAATATAGTAATTCTCCTAATTCACAAGTACAAGCTATTTTTTAATTTGTAGGTGTCTGCGTCTGTTTCTCTCTTCAATACATTATAGCTTTCAGGACGGAGGTCTTCACTTCCTTGACTAAATTTACTCCCATAATGTTCTGAGTTATTGTAAATGTTTTCTTGACTCTTTTTGGATAGTTCATTGTTAGTGTACCGAAACACGACTGATTTTCGTATGTTGATTTTGTATCCTGCAACTTTACCAAATTAGCTCTAACCATTTTTCATGGGGCTTAGGGGCTTCTATATGTGAGTTCAAGTCCTTAGCAAATGAGAGACAGTTTGATTTCTTCACTTGCTATCTAGATGCCTTTTCTTTTTCTTGCCTAATCATGGTAACCAGGCTCCCGGTGTTAAACTGAACGGAAGTGGGGCGAGTGAGCATCCTCTCCTGTTCTAGGTCTTGGAGGAACGGCTGCTCACTGTTGAGGGTGGTGTCGCCATTGAACATGATGCTCTTTCCCTGCCTGAGGCTTAGCTTGCTCTTTTTTTCTACAAAAGAAGATTTTTCACTTGATCTTTCTTTTTCTTTGATGTGGGCATTTCTTACTATGAACCCTTCATTGTGTTGAGGGACATCCCTTCTTAATCCAATCTGTCGAGAGGTTTATTTACTTATTTATTTTGGTACTGGGGATCGAACTCGGGACCTTGCGCTTGCTAGGCAGGCAGCAGAACCAGTGAGCTAAATCCCCAGCCCCTTGACCTTCATTCTTAAAGTGGCATATGGGATTTACTGACATTCACATGTGAAGTCATCCTTGTATTGATTATGCTGATTCTTCGTATTGCTGCATTTTGTTTGCTAAAGTTTTGTAGGGAATTTTGGTGTTGGTGCTCATCAGAGATACCAGCCTGTCATCTTTTTCCCTTGCAGACCCCTTGTCCAGCCTCCGGTGCCAGGTGACGCTGGCCTTGTGGGAGGAGCGTGGAAGGAGCCCTTGTTCTCACTCGGTTGGGAAACATGTGAGAAGGCTCAGGTTCTTGCTCTGAATGTTTGGTGGAATTGAGCGGTGAGGCCTTCAGCCCTGGGCCTTCGTTTGGCTGACAGGAGGCTCCTCTGTCCGGCTCCAGTGTCTGTATTGACTCTGGTCTGCACGGACATTCTGTTTCTTCATGATTCGGTCTTGGTGGGTTGTGTATTTCCAGGAATTTAGTAAGTTCTTCTGAGTTATCCAGTGTGTTGGCTTAAATTGTTTAAATTATGGTCTTTTGTACATCTGTGGTATCAGCTGTGATCACTTTCATTTTCATTTCTGGTTTCATTCGGGTCTTATTTTTGTCTTTAGTTTTGCCCATTTTTAAAAAAATCAACTCTTTGTTTCATCAACTCTGTTATCTTTCTAGTCTCCATTTCTTTCTGCTCTGATCTTGGTTATTTCCTTGCTTCTCCTCCCTTTAAGCTTAGTTTGTCCTTCTTTTTCTAGTTCCTTGTGGTATAATCCTAGGTTGCTTAAGATCTTTCTTCTATTGAATGTCAGCGTTTATTACTGTGAACTTCCTTTTTGGGACTGCTTTTATTGCATTCCATAGGTGTGTGTTCAATTTTCATTTGTCTGTAGATATGTTTTAATTTCTTTTTACTTTCTGTTTTCATGCACTGGTTGTTCCGGAGCGTGTCATTGAGTTTCTGCGTATTTGTGACTTGCCTAAAATTACTCTCATTACTGATTTCTAGTTTCATACTACTGTGGCCGGGAAGCATGCTGGCTAGGTTAGTGGGCCAGTTTCGTGGCTCCTATGGGCTGAGAAGGGTATGGGCTGCTGCTGCTCCGTGCCCCGCTCTACGTCTGTGAGGTCTGGTTGGCCTGCAGGTTCCTGTCCACCAGGATTCACTGTGCTGAAACTGAGTCACTGATGTGGTCAAGAGGGAAGGCCTCCTGGGCAGTGAGGGCGTCAGAAGGTTCTCCCCTCATGGATGGAAGCAGAGCCATTAGAAAGAGACAGAAGGTGTGCATGTGGCCCTTTCTGCCTTCCGAGGAGGCCAGGAAGCACTGTGTATGAGGAATGGGCCCTGGTTCAACACCAAAGCTGCTGTTGCTTTGAATGTGGACCCCCAGCCTCTAGGACTGCAGGAGATCAGTTCATGTTGTCTACAAATTCCCCAGCCAGGGCATTTATTTCTAGCATCCTTAAAACCAAGACAGCGTCCAGGGTGTCCTTACTACTTCCTGTCTGGATGACTGGCCCTTTGCTGGGAGGGAGTCTGGAAGCCACACACTCTTCCTGCTGTGCAGTCTGTCTGTACCTTCAGGCCTGTTAATATTTGCTTCAATTTGGGGTAGTCCAGGGTGTCCATGGTGCCTGTGGGATGTTGCATGGTGGGTGGGTGTTAGACGCAGTAGGTTGTGTGCTCTCTTGTGTTTGTGTGGAGCAGCCTGTGTGTGCGCGTGTGGTGTGGTGTGTATGGTGTGCTGTGTGCTGTTTGTCTGTGAAAAGGCGGACGTTACACACATCTCTGTACGCGCACTGTGGTCACCAGCACTCTGACGCCCGACCTCTCTTACCGTAAGGCACATGTGCCTCTCGCCCAGGAGCGCCAGCTGGGACGAGCAACCCTGGGCGGTGACCCTGGAGCTTTTGACGTTGTGCCTGCTCACTCTCTCTGCAGGTTTGTTGCTGTCGGAAAGAGCGAACGATGTGAATTGTGCCTTGGCAGGGCAGGGCACCCCGTGATCCCCGGAGACGGGAAACCGCCCCTCGGCTCCCCACCTCCAGCAGGACCTGCTGGATGAGCTGCTGGCCCATGCTTACCAGCAGGGTCATCTCATCGCTGTACTCTTGTTTATTCAGCCCCACTGCCCAGGAGGCAGAAATGCGACCACTGGACCCCGTGTCCTCCCAACACCTATGCCTACCGGTTACTGAGCGGCGGGGGCAGAGACAAGCACGCCAAGATCTGCTTTGAGGACGAGCTGTGAGTATTACACAGTGCTGCGCGTTCTGTCCCCTCCTTGGAGCCGGCCCAGAAGAGACTTAGGCGTCCCTGACCGGCAAGAGAGCGTTATCTTGGTTCATGGTTTTCAGAGGGTTCAGTCCATGGTTGAAACAGCACGGCAGAAGGGCGAGTGGAGGAAAGCCACTCACTCCAGCAGGCAGGAAGCAGACAGAGGGAGGAGGGAGGCGCTGGGGATGGGGACACAGCCTTCCAGGTCACGTCCCCAGCGACCGCCCCCCGCCAGCCCGCCTGCTCACAGAACATTCAGCCCGGACTCAGGAGCAGATGAATCCGCCAGGGAGGACAGGGACCCCATCCCCCGGCCTCCTCCCCAAGCCCCGCCTCTGAGCCCGTGAGACTTCCGGGCCGGTCTGGTCTACTCCTGACGTCATCGCTGGTCCTCCACGGCCTGTGCTGTGCGCCCTTCCTGGGTGCAGCCCCTCTCCTCCTGCAGTGGTGCGTGTGGTGACCGCGGCTTTTCTTGGTGGGCTTCCTGCCTGAGTGTGCACGGCAGCAAACAGGGTTGCTCGATTTCTCTTTGAACTCTGTACAAACAGAGTTGTAAGCCGTGTTCTCCAAAGTGGTCAGAAGCACCGAGCCTCTGTGGGAGAGAAGACCCTTCCGCGGCGGAAGGCCAAGTCCCACAGCCACGCTCCCGGGGCAGAGGGATCAAAGGCTTCCAGTGGTCCCCAGGCTGCTCTCATCACTGACACTGGAGCCTGGCCGAGAGCTCATTCACACTCACTCGTGTTCACACTCCCAGCTCCTGCCTGCATCGTTCCTGTAATCACCATCTCCACAAAAGCCACTCGGTCTTTCTGGTTTTAGGGCAAATCCCCTTCAAATGGACATTTCATGAATCAGTTTAAACAGGAAACAGCATGAGGTGCGGTGGAAGGCGATTACCTGAGTAGATGGGCGGGCTTACAGTGGTGGTGGGGGGGAGGCTGACCAGGAGGGGCCAGGGCTCTGTCACACTCCGAGGCACCCGGAGGAGGGGTTTGGGGGGCCACGGTGGGGCTGCAGCGCCCCCTCCCCGACCATCTCTTCCAACTTCGCATCTGCAGTGTGCGCAGGATGCTCGAGGGCCGCTGAGCAGTCAGTCCCCGGCCTGTGTGAAGGGCGTGTGCGCAGCACACGGGCGTCTCCCCCGCCTTCGCTTGCCCTGTAAGGGTCAGTGCAGGCGTCACGCAGGGACTGAGTCCGCGGAGCCTGGCGGAGGTGTGGGCGGCGAGGGTGGAGCCTTCCCCGGCCGTGCCCGGCCTTGGACGCATCTGGACAGTGGCCAGATGGGCCGTGCCCGGCGGGGATGCGCAGAGCAGGGCAGGCGAGACGGGCATCCCGGGCCGACGCTGCCTTCCGTTTCAGGCTCGTGGGAGAGAAGATGGGGAATGTCCAGAGAGGGATAAACATCGCCGTTGTCAACTGTAAGTTGGGGGTTTTTCTCAGACTTGCCTAGTTCTGAGATGGCATTTTCGCAGAAATCTTGGCTTTTCAAGCACCGGGGACGTGGTCCAATCTAGGGCTCCACTTTAATGCATTTTAAAGTTATGTATTGGTTTTTACAAGCCTCATTTTCCAAATGATTAGTGGTTCTGGTGACAACAAAAAATTAAGGGAAAACTGAATATAAAAAGACTTTTCAGTAAAACCTGGGACTTGCAGGGCGAGGCTCGGATCGAACCGGAGGAGTGGCCAGCTTGGGCACAGAGCAGGGTCCCCGGCTGCTGCTCACCTCTGCCCCACATGGGTGTCAGAGCAGAGGGAACACTGTCGCCCATCCCTCTGTGTGACCCAGAACCCCGTGGAAAGCGAGCCGTGGCTGCCTCTGAGGTCCCATGGCCATCATGGGTCTGCAGTGTTCCCCACGGGGTCCCCGGGAGGGGCGGGCAGCATGGGCCAGGGGACAGCAGGGCTGTGGCTCCTGAGACCAGATGCTGCCAGGCCAGGAACCACGGGGACCCTGCTGAGCAAGGTGGGACCCCCGAGGGCCACAAGAGCATTCAGAGCCACTCGGCCTAAGACCTCATTGCAGTGACTGTGCAAACCCTGGCCGATAGCCTCACAACTCACGGTAGCTACGGCTCGGAAGCAGCCTGTGGGTCCACCAGCAGAGGAGGCCATGAAGGAAATGTGGCATTTACACACCCTGGAGTCCTGCTGTGCCGTAAAGGAAGAGAAACTTGAGGCATTTGTGGGAAAATGGATGCACCTCAAGACTGTCAATTTAAGTGAAATTTATCAGACACAGAAGTTTAAATGTCACATGGTTTCTCATATATGAGAAACCCAAAGTATAAATGAATCAAAGAGCACAATAAAGGATGGATAACAGGGAGGTAGACTTTTTGCAAAGGGGAAGAAGACCATGAGACAGGAAAAGGGAAGGGGGGGATGGAGAACTGAGCTGGACTCTGTCCGTGCGCCTGCTCCCCCAGGGACGCCATCTTCACGCCCTGTGAGCACGCACTGATGAAAATGAGCTAAAAAGTGAGAAGCAGGGCTCCAGCCGACACCAATGCGGACTGGCCCGCGCTCTGCCAGGACCCCAGCCGGTGACCCTCTCAGGAAGCCGCCCCGCTCTGGCCCCAGCTGTCTGCCAGCATGAGTTTCTGGCAGGGACACGGAGAAGAACTGTACCCTCGGGGAAACAGGGACCACCACACCCTGGGCTCTGGGAGCTTCCTTTAAACACTGTTCCTTTCACTTCCAGATGTAACTGGGAAGGTGAGAGCAACGCAGACGTTTGATATGTACGAAGGCGGTAAGGAAAGTGTTAAAGTTAGGGTGAATTTTAAACATAAGGTAGACCCTGAAGAGAAACGGAGGCACCAAATAAGTAAGAAACAGGGAAAGAGAGAGGAGAGGACTTGTAGGATGTAGGTTCGGTGGAGTGGGGTCCTCAAATGCACGTGTGAGGGTCCTGCTCTGAGATGTCACCCTTGAGCTGGGCGTGGTGGCACACACCTGCAATCGCAGCACTCTGGGAGGCTGAGGCGGGAGGGTCCAGAGTTCAGGCCCAGCCTGGGCAGCTTAGTGACTTAAGGAGGTAGTATGTCAAAACTTAAAACAAAAAATAAAAAGGGTTGCGGATGTGGCCTGGTCCCAATGTCCCGGTGTGTGTGTGTGTGTGTGTGTGTGTGTGTGTGTGTTATCCTGCTGTCCGGATCCCTGTCGGCCACCGCAGAGGATGGGACAGATGCAGAAGCGGGGCAGGACTGGCTCAGCAGCATCAGGGCCTGATTCCCGGGCCTCTCCACCTGCCCCTTGCTAGGCCCCTCCTCCCCTCCGGCGTCCCCGGTCGCTCACCCCTGCCCTCCGAGGGTCTGTGCTTCCCTCTGGTGCCAGGAGCAGGCCCAGGCAGGAGGGAGGCGGCCAGGGCCCTAACTGGGACCGGCTGCACCCGCAGATAACTCCGCGCCCCTGACCCAGTTCATCCGGAGCGCACCCGCCAAGTCCCTGCTGCTCATGGTGACCCACGACGACGGAAGCACCAGGTGAGCGGAACGGAGCTGCTGCCGGGGTCCTCACCCTGGTCCTCCGGGCAGCGCACAAGTCCGAGGGCCAGAGGCTTCCTCAAGGCAAAGGAGGGGCGGACGGTGCCCAGCAGACCCGGACTCTGCAGTCAGACCCCTGACGGGAGTATGAGGGGCGCAGGGACCACGGGGGCGAGGTGTAGCCTCTCCAGGCAGGAGTCGGCCCCAGGCGGGACTTACAGGGAGGAAGAGGAGCAGAGATCGTTTCTCTACCTGGGGAGCACAAGGTGAAGAGACACACACACACCCGCGCACACACACCCGCGCACACACACCCGCGCACTCACGCGCGCGCGCGCGCAGGCCCCAGCATTTCCCAAACCAGTCCGACCTCAGGTCCCTCGAAGGTTCTCTCCCCTGATGCTCACTTCCTGACGGTGCGCAGGAGGCACTGCCTTCCGCTGCTCTCCTCCGTCAGCAGCTTCCGCCCGCCCTGTCCTGGCACAGGAAGCAGGGGCAGCGAAGACTGACTGCAAAGCTGCCCGGGTTCGAGGGTGTGAGGGAGCCGAGCTTCGGGGCCTGTCCAATCAGAGCGAGGGTTCTGTGCTCAAAACTGAGGGCGAGCTGGATACGGAGGGCAGGGCTGACGTTCCAGCACTCTGGAGGCTGAGGCAGGAGGATTGCAGGTTCAAGCCCAGCCCGGGCAAAGGAGCTACTTAAGGAGACCTTGTCTCAAAACAAAAATTTTAAAAAGGGGTGGGGATGTAGCTCAGTGCAGAGGCTCTGCCTTCAGCCCCCAGTCCTGCAAACAAACACAAACCGAGGCCGAAGAGGGCTCTGGGTGTGACCCCGTTGGCCAGAAACGTGAGCTGCTCACCCAAGTCGCCTGCCCTTCCTGCTGCTCCCCTGCCCCCCCCCCACCCCCGGGACAGCAGGGGGACCCAGCAGGGCCTCGGGCCTCCCCAGCTCACGTTGTCTCGGGACCCATCCTCACCCATCCCTCTGTCCCCAGACTGAAAGCTGACGCCAAGAACGCCCTGGAGGCACTGGGCAGCAGAGAGATCCGGAACATGAGGTTCAGGTCCAGCTGGGTGTTCCTGGCTGCCACAGGCTTCCAGCTGCCCGAGGGACTTCCGAGGGAGAAGGTGAGTGAGTCCCGGCCCCCCTCGAGCCGAGCCGCTGCCGCCCTCACTGCGGGTCCCGTTGGGACACGGGCTGCTGCAAATCCAGGCCCGTTAGCTGCTGGGCCACCCTGCCTGTGGGCTCCCGATTCTCAGATCTCCCTGAAAGTGGGAGCTTGGAGCTGGTTTCCCCACCTGCATCCACTGCCATCTGCTCAGCCCCTTCACCCTACTCGGGTGGCAGGGGCCACTCACCAAGGCCTCGAGGAGGACAGGTCCCGAGAAAACACTCAGTAACAGATCGATGCAGCTTTCACCGTCACGGGGTTTTTCATTTGCTTATTTCTCTCTTTTGAGACAGGGTCTCGCCACGAACTCACTAGGCTGGCCTTGAACTCACTGTGTAGCCCAGGCTGGCCTCAGACTCACAGCGATCCTCCTGCCTCAGCCTCCAGAGTGCTGGGCTTACAGACACCTGGCTCATGGTGGCACTTGTAGTGACTCGCTGTGATAGATTCGCTGCCCCTCCCATTATTTGTCAAAGAGCAAAGCACAAAGAACTGTATTCTAACCTCTGAACCCCAATGAGGTGTGAGGTCCGGCGAGGTCGGCCAGGGTCGCTGGGGAGTCGCAGCAGCCTCTCTGGACAAAGTGGAAAAGCAGGTTCCGGGGAGGCGGTGGCTGTGGCCTTGGAGGGAGCCCCCACACCACCTTTGCTCTTAGCCAAAACCCTGGAAGGTGGAGGGTGCTCGGTCTGCAGGGTGGGCACGGTCACCTCTGATGCAGCCTGGACGCTGCCCCAGGGCATGGTCACAGGGCTGGCAGGAATGAGGTCCTGGCCCCCCAGGCAGGGCGGCCCCTGAGCTTCCGGGAGACCTGTGTCCTCCAGCTCTGGACCAAACCCCCAAGCATCGCAGCTGGCAGCATTAAATTCTTAGGGAAAAGTGGGCATAAATCTTGGTGACCTTGGATTAGACAGTGATTTCTTAAAGATGGAACCATTAATGGTGAAAGAAAAATAGATAAATTGGTCTTTATCAGAATCAAAGGCTTTTCTGCTCCAAAGAACACTGTAAAGACAGCCCGTAGAGTGGGAATGAATATTTGGAAATAATAGATGTGGGTCCAGAATACACACAGAACCCCACCCCCTTTTTGAGACAGGGTCTGGCTATGTAGTACAGGCTGGCCTTGAACTCAGAGAGTAGCCCAGGCTGGCCTGGAACTCACAGCGATCCTCCTGCCTCAGCCTCCTGAGTGCTGGGATGCCAGGCGTGAGCTATATACAGAACTCTTACAACTTGACGAGAAGACAGCACAGTTTCACAGTGGACACAGGGCTGGCACAAATGTTTCTTCAAAGGAGCTGTGGTAGGTGGTGAGCATGGGGAATGGGCCAAGAGCTTTAGTGACCAGCAAAGGGCAAATGAGCATCTCGGGAGAGACCACCCCACCCTCACCGTGCAGGGCAGCTGCGGCATCAGAGGGCAGCTCTCTCACTGCTGGGCGAGGCGCAGTGTGGCATTGAGCAGTCGGAGCCATTAGCACGGACCCAGCAGCACCCTGTGGGCACCCACGCAGGACAGTGGGCACCTGCAGCTCAGCCCTGGGCACGGCTGGGCAGAGCAGCGTGCTGCAGAGTACAGAGGGCCCTTGACTTGCGGCCTCAATTCATTCTCGAGGGCTGGTTGTAACTCAGGTTGGGCAGTGAGGGCTCAGGCTCCTCCACAGCCTTCAGAGTCTCTCTCCTGCACACAGGCAGATCTCAGCATCCTTAGAGAGAAACCGGCCCAGGACTTCAGTGAACCCCGAACAGCAAAGGATGCTGTAATGCTCCTTCCAGGACTAAAATGTGTGGTGCTGGAGACTGAATCCAGAGCCTTCACACTGGGCTCCAGGCCCAGCCCTTTCTAAAGTTTAATTTCAAGACAGAGTCTTGCTAAATTGGCCAGGCTGGGTTTGAACTCCTGACCCTCCTGCCCCAGCCTCCCAGGGTGCTGGGATCACAGGCAGGCACACCGCACCTGCCTTAGAGGATGAATTTTATAGCACATGAATCATATCTCAGTAACATTCTGTTAAAAGAGGGATCTATAACTAAAATCCAAAATTAGGACCCACACGATTTCATTTAAGTGCCAGGTGAAAGTCCTTCAGTATCGGAAAGAGTTGAAGCTATAAAGGGCCAACAGCAGCTCCCGTGTGCACACACACATTGCTGAGCAACAAACTCTAAAGTAATTGGAAAATACAGTCTGGGGAGGGGAGAGGGGACACAAAAAGAATGAAGATGTGTTGTGTGCATATTCCAGCTCCCCATGAGGAATTCGTGACTGTCTTAGTTGCCTTTCTCATTGCTGAGACCAAATACCTGACCGCACAGTTCAAGGAGGAAGGGCTTATTTAGCTCACGGTGTGTAGGGTTCAGTCCATAGTCAGCTGCTCCAGGCAGGGATGGCACATGCAGAGGAGGGACAGTTCATGGCAGCAGAAAGCAGCAGAAGCAACAGGGGCCTTAACAGCATCTTTCTGCCCATTTGTCTTGTCCAGACTCCCGGGATTAGGGTGGTGCCAAGCCCATCAGTGGACTGGTTCAGGAATCGCCCTCCCTCAATCCCAGCATCACACACTCTGGATCTGGCCACCTCAGAAAAAGCCCCATCTATGACCGCCTGAGGCTGTGGGGACAGCTAGCCCCAAACCATGACAATCACATACTGCAAACCTGGACTAATCAAAGTAAAAATTTTTTAAAGACTCAGGAAAAAAAATCCCTGCTCCCAGAGGTTAAAACTGAACACCACAGCTCTGCTTTCCAACATTTTAATTTATTAAAATGAAACAGAATTTGACTTCCAGTCCACCGAGCCAAGCGGGTGGGACAGCGTGTAGAACATCTCCGTCCTCACAGAAGCGAGTCTGGGCCCCCTTCAGACGTCAGGGAGACACCCTGGGAGGAAATCAGCTGCCGCCAGGCAGGAAGTGGCTCTGCCTGAGTGGTCATGTTCACAGTTTACAGGTTAAATATTTGCGCACTGGCTTAGTGAATAATGAAGCTCTTTCTTCTGCTTCATGCAGATCAACCACTCTGACAACACCAAGAACAGGTACTCCGGCTGGCCGGCGGAGATCCAGATCGAGGGGTGCATACCCAGGGAGCCCAGCTAGCAGTGCATGGCCCCAATAAATTAACGTGTCTGTCTGGACCAGGCAGCTGAGTGGCTCCCAAATTGAGTGTTTGCAGTGTGGTATCAGCCAACAGACTTCGCTGGTTGTGTGAAGTCTGTCGCATACAACGGGGCTGCTCAGAGTGGCCTGGCCAGCTCTGCCCAGCTCTGCCCAGGGCCAGGCCTGCTGTCCCCCACTCCCCTCCTGGGGCCCAGCAGCTGTGGGAGGGCTGGGCAGGGCCCTGGGTCGGCTCCCACTGTGCTCTTGAGCGCCCCCTGTGGGCTGTGGACTCCTTCCTCGGCTCCATCTGGGTGCAGCTGCCTTTGTGCCCACTGCTGACGGGCAGAGCTGGCTGTGGCCGGCAAGGTCTCGGGAAGGCGGCCAGAGGCCTAGACTCCCGCACTCTCCCACCATGCAGCTGTCCGTGGGCAGAGTCGGGTGAACGCGCAGCAGCCCTGGGGCGAACACTGCTGCCAGAGTTGGCTGAATGTCCTTCCCTGGCACACACGAGAAGCTGTCTTAGGCACCGGAACCACTGGCTCTCTGGCCTCTGCGGCTCCTCCCCTAGGTGGAGGAGCAGGGCAGGTGACAGGTTCCAGGCACTTTTGTTCCAGGACTCCTGTGGAATCATAGGAGCGTATGACACCCTGAAACCCAGAGCCATGCAGCAACAAACTGCCCGAACTGCCGACGTGAGCCTCTAATGAGGGACAGGCCTGAGCCACTCAGGTGCAGGTGAGGTCCAGAGTCTGGCTTTGGGGTGCAGAGTTCTTGTGGGGTTTACCCCACTCCCAACAGCCCTGTACCGGCCTCTGCTGGCCCTGCAGGTCTCACTGCTTGGAAGGGAGGCCAGCCTCGGTGCAGGCTGCACGGTCACTTAGTTTATGTCGAGCTTGGACCCCCTACCAAACCACAGTGACCCAGCGAGAGATCTCCATGGTGGGTCAGCAGCCCCAGGGGACAGGGCACTGGTAGTCCCCTTTGTCACGTGTCGTGTTTCTGCAGATGCAGATGAGACCCCGAGCAAACCACACAAGCAGAGTGTTTGCACGGAGTGGGATTGGTACCCCGGAAAGGGCCTACATTAGCCCTCCAGTTCTGCACATCACGCAGTTGTCAGTTTCCTTCTGACGTGGGCTAGGGGGACAATTGCCGGTTACTTCTAGGGGACCTGGAGGTGATTTTGCTACAAACACTGGTGCCACCTGGGCCTGCCTGTGTCAGAGTGACCAGCACGGGCTCAAGGTATGGCATCTCCTTCCCTTTGCCACCTTACACCTGAGGTCAGATTCTGCCCAGCCCTGGGTGTAGACAAGTTGATCATTCACAGAAGGCTTTGTCCCAGACTCTGACACCAGGCAACGAGGCTCCTGCCATTGGTGACACTGTTTTCTTTTCTCTCCACTCTTGGCCCCCACCCTGTGCTGTCCTAGAACCCACTGGGGCCCGCGCACCCCAAGCCCTTCAGCCTTATCGTAAGGTTCAGTTCCAACCACAACACCAGGAGTCTGGCACAGGATGCCAGACACATGAGAATCCGCCACCTCCCCGCATGATGACGGGGACAGCCAATGGTCCAAGTCCATCTGTTCCCTCGACCATGGAGATGAACAGACTTCACCTCCAGCAGGTTAATAGAACCCTGCTGCTGCCCTGCTTGTGGGAGCAGCAGCCTGACCATGCCCCACCGGCTGCTGACTGCCTTCGGCTGGACCCCCACCCAGTGAAGCTCTGCCTGAATGGGAGCGCGTGCTGGCAGTGTTTGGCCCACTGTCATTTCTGCCACATCTAGGTTGGAAGCTGTCAGCACTCAGTATCATAAGGCACTTGGGAACGCTGTCTTGGGTTGTGGCTGTGGCTCTGTTTCTTTCTCCTAAGTTTCCTTCTATGCTACTAACTAAAGGCTGTCAATAGGTGGGCTTTCTCAGTGTTACCCACTGGAAGGGACATTTCTGGCTCAGGTGTGTTGGTCCCAGTTTAGGTTTGTCCACAGCATATTTTAGCAGGTGCTATTGTTTGGATCTTAAGTGTCCCCAAGAGGCCCTAAAGGTTTGGTCCCCGGTGCTTTGGGAGCTTGTGGACCTTTAGGAGGCGGGGCCTCATGGGAGGCCTTTAGGTCACAGGGCCTGTGCCCCAAAGGGAACAGTGAGGTCCCAGCCCTTCCCCTTCCTCCTTTTTCACTTCCCAGCCATAAGGTGGGGGGTTTTGCTGGGTCACCTGCTTCTGCCATGATTCACTGCAAAGCAATGGGGTCAGTGGATTGTGAGCTGGAATTTCTAAAACTCGGAGTGAAGGTGAATCTTTCATCTTTGTAAGTAGATTACCTCAGGTGTCCTGCAGGGACAGACACAGCACACCCTTAAACACAGCCAGGAAGCCTCCTCACTGGACAGGTCCCAGCCCCTGCCTGACCCCTGGCCCAGCCTGTGTGGGGAGCAGGGCTGTAACTGTCCTTGTCCCAGGAGGGGCCCAGGCAGGGGCAGATGGGAAGCCCAGGACCAGTGTGACCCCTGCAGAACGTCAGAACCCCAGGGCATCCGGGAAATGGCCAGGGATGGAGATGGCAAAGAGCTCAGTGGGGCTTCCTGACACGGGAGTCGGGGCACGACGCCGACGCTGCTCTGTGTGATGCTGCCATGGTGAGTCCACATCACCACATGCTGGGCCAAAGCCATCCAGGGGACAGCACCGAGAGTGAGCCCGGATACGGACTAGTGCCGGGTGACTGTGAGGGCTCGTTGACTGGACCAGCAGCGCCCTCTGGTGGGCATCTGGGCATTCTACAACTGTTTCCCTCGGAAGGGGAGCCCTGTTAAGAGTTTAGCCTTAATGTGTCCCCCTAAAGCCTCCTGTGTTTAGAAGGTGATTGGGTTGGGGGTGCCGTAATCACCAGTGGATTAATCCACTGTTTCCTGTTAGGAGGTGGGGCCTGGCTGGAGATGGGTCACTGGGGGTGACCTGGAAGGGAGAATTCTTGTCCCCAGCTCCTCTGCTTCCTACCTGTCACGGGTTGAGCGCCTTTTTCTCCTCCAGGACCCTCTGCCCTGCTGTTCCTGCCTTGGAGCCTCCTGGCCATGGGCTGAAATCATGAGCCAAAATAAACCTCTCCTCCTTTAAGTTGTGGGTGTTGGGTATTTTGTCCCAGCAATGAGAAAGTGGCCAAGATTTCTTTCCCCCAAAGATGCCTGTCTGCTCATGCACACATAAGGGGAGCTTTTGGGAGTGATTGGATCATGGGGAGGTGATACTCATCAGTGGATTGGTCCACTGTTGAGTTTGTAGCTGGGGGTGGTGTTGGGAGGTGGAGCCTCGTGGGAGGAGGTGATCACTGGGGGCATTGCCTGGAAGGGTCTGTCTCCCTCCTCCTCCCTTGATCTCTCTGTTTTCTGACTACCTTGCCATGGACTGCTTCTCCTATGCCATGCCAACCTGCCTTGGAGCCAGCTGATTATGGACTGAAACGTCTATAAACTGAGCCAAAATAAACGTCTCCTTAGAGTTGTGGGTGTCCAGTATTATGTCCCAGCAATGAGAAAGAGTTTAACTAAAACACTGGGATTGCAGGCATGTTCCACCATGCCCAGGCAAAGCAAAAAAAAAAAAAATTGAGGGCATAATAATCTAACATAATGGTACAAAAGGAAATGGCCAATTTCCTTGCTTGGAGCACGTGTGCAGGAGCAACTGTGAAGCCAAAGGCATCCGTTGCCTCCCCACACGGGGACAGTCAGTCCCCCACATCAGGGGGCTTCCTGCAGCTGTATTTGGTTTGTATTGAGGGAACTACTCTGCCCTTGTGCATCATAAGCAAATGTGAGGAAGGAGACCATGGGCACCTGCAGTGGGACTTCCGGGGCAGGGACATCCTCACCTTCACTGCAGGCTCCACCTCAACCAGGACCACCTGAGCTACACCACCTTAACAGGAGGAGAGATGGGATTGGCGTGTGTTGCAGGGTTCAGTCCATAGTCACTTGTCCCATTCTGGGAGGTACTTGCTTATCTGAAGTAGGCTTAAAACACGGTCCTAACCCAGATGACTCTGCCCTGTAACCTCCAGATGGCCCCACCCCTCTGCTACTACTTCAAAAGTCCCCAACTAGGTCTTCAAAGTGCAGAAGACTGCCCACGGATGCACCTGCTCCTCCTCTATGTAAGCAGTACCCCCCCACTTGCCATGGTCAGTCTAGGGGGGCTCCTCCATGCATCACTGTGCTGCAGCAAGGCCTAAGCATGCCTCCCTAGAGTAGTCCTATTTCCTGCTTATGACTCCTGTTTTAGGGAGTATAGGCTGAGTGGATTGTGCTAAGAAAGAGCTGGTAACATCAGAGCTATTAGTCCTTGGGAACAGCTAAGAACTAAGAGTGGCAGAGACCAGTGAGGATCACAGAGAACAGAAAAAGAGCCCCAGAGAGGCAGGGGAAGCTGCCTATAGAGCTTAAGAGAGCTGCCAAGTGGTACAGCTCCAGTTGTTGAGGAGCAGCAGGACAGACATGGCTAGGAGCTGCAGCACTGAGAACTAAGAGGTGCTGGCATTCAAAGTTGAAGCTGTAACACTAGGGGTCAGAGGGCACTGGCATCCAGAGCCCAGCACCACAAATATCAAGAGAGCTCTGCTTTGCAATTTGTGATTTCCATCCAAAGTGAGCCAAAGAACACTGAGCCGATTAGTGACACAGTAAGATGCTATCATGGCTAATATCTAGGTGTTCCCTAAAAGCCTCCTGAACTATAGGTGAGGCTTTTCAGAGGTGGTTGGTGTATGAATATGGATTAGGGGTGTGTGCTAATTAAATTAGTCCACTGATTGTTTTAGCACAATTTTGGGTGTAGATAATGGGAAGGTCCACTTTTGGTGTGGGTAGCACCAATCAGTAGACCTATAGCCTGAATGAAATAAAAGGAAAAGGGAGGCTTGCTTCTGGTTGCCTCCTGCCTACCCTGCTATGGACTGTTTCTCCCTTCGATGTCCCTCTGCCATGCCACTTTGCCTTGGAGCCTGCTGAGTATGGGCTGAAACCTCTACAAACTGTGAGCTAAAATAAACCTGTCCTCCTTTATCTTGGTGGCAGGTATTTTGTCCCAGCAACAAGAACTAAGATGCCAAGGAAAGGAAAGTTTGAAAGTTGATTTCAGAGCTCTCCATGATGAGGGCACTGAGCTTCCAAGCTCCTCCAAGATCCTGGAGCCAGTAGGGTCCAGGGAGCTAGGAGTGGATGGGCCTCAGGCATTCCGACCACGTGGACCAACTGAGACTCCTCTGGGCCCAGGGAAGCACACTGAAAGCTTGAGACACAAATAAATAAAAACAGCTAAAAAGAAGAGAAGGGGAGAGGAGCTAGTCTTGGCATGTCTCTGAACTGACCATCACCTATGGTCATGTGTTTCCAAAATCTAAATAACGTTACTGCTTCTCCCTCATCAAAGCCACACAATGTTCATGAGAGCCCCAAATATGTTGCTCTCCAGCTGTGAGACTATATCCAAGCTACTTAACTTGCCCATGTGCCACATCCTCCTCCCATATAAAGACAGGGTAGCATCATACCAGTGTCAAATCTGGCTGGTTGCCCCACGCCAGCCAACGAGAGACAGAGTGTGGAGGCAGGGGGCCGACTTTATTCCAAAACCTGCTAGAGAAGCCCAGGGATGCTTGTTGTAAAGGCTATCTTTCTGGGAAAGGGTATCTAGGGTAGTCTGCATAGCAGTTGATGTGTGTTTCCTGTCTGGTAGGCAGCCTGTTACAGCTGAATGATGCACATCCCATCATATTCCCTACAGGCCAGAGATTTAGCTCAGTGGTTCTGTCGCCTGCCTCACAAGCGCAAGGTCCCGAGTTCAATCCCCGGTACCAAAAGCAAACAAATAAACCAATCATATAGCCTAGTTATGGGATGTTTTTCCCATTTTTGCAAATTTCCAAAGCAAAGGTAATTCTTTCCTCAGGCTCTTCCTGTCACCAGTTAGTTGTATACTACTACATAATGGACAGGTCGAGGGTAGTAATTGCCATAAGGCCTTCTTGCTGAAGACCAAACTCTTGGTAATGAGGGAAAACATTCTTCCTCAGTGAGTTACCTATACACATTCCCTATATCTGATGAAAATAACCTTAACCCTGGGTTTCAATATCAAAGAGATGTATGGTGGCACACACCTGTCATCCCAGCAGTCTAGAGGCTGAGGCAGGAGGGCCACAAGTTCAAGCCCAGCCTAGGCAACTTAGCAACTTCCTGAGACCCTGTCTCAAAATTACAACATAAAAAGCATTGAGGATGCAACTCCACGCAAAGATCCTGGGTTCAGTTCACAATATGGGGATGAGGAGAGGAGCCCAGCATAATGCCACGTGCCCTCGAGGCTCATGGAAAGCACTATGAGGAGACAAGTATGGCTTTGAGCACTGAGAGCCATTCTACATAATTTTTGTGGAAAAATCATTTCATAACTATATTGTGCTTGGGGTCATCTAAAGACTAGTGTCTTCTTGCCTGTAAGCCAGCTATGCCATGAGGAAACATAGCTCCGTGTGCCTCCACTACCTGCTGTTGCAAGAATGCTTTCCCCACCCCGCTGTCCTCCCTCATCAACATAAGATCCTCATCAGCATAAGATCACTGCAGCCCTGAGTCACCTGATACTCCCTCTGATTATTGTGTGCACCCAATAAATAGTGGCCTTATTCAGCCTGTGCTTGTGGTGGCTTTTGCTAGCTTTTCCATACAAATACAGCCTTGCACTCCCACCTTTGCTGTTATAGGAGAGATCCTCAGACTCTTCCATTCACAGTGCCTTGACTGATTCAGTAACTTATCCAGCATGCTGCCTGCCTCAGCGACACACTTGAAGATGTATTTGTATGTTAGGTAGGTCCAACAACTCAGTAATGGGAAGCTGGGTGGTACCCAAAAGATGTCTCTGTGTATCCCTGGGAAAAGTCTCATCCAGCCCTGTGATTTTGTTGAAGTGTCCTGGAGTATCTCAGCTCAAGGTTAGGGAACTACACTCTTACAGTCTTGATTAATATTTTAACCTGTATATCTCTCTGGGGGCTCATCTATGACATAGGTAATTCCATCCGAGTAATGTCAGGGTGACCTCAGCAGAGGGAGTGCTGTCACCACGAACACAATGCAGTGTCTTTGTTGGGATGAGGCCCCTGCTCCTAGGATCCCAGGTGCACTCCTGCTTGCCTCCTACTTCCCCAGCCAATCTCTGACCAGGTGTTTGTGGGCAGAGATCCCGGGGAGATGAAGTTGGAAGGAGTCCGGGTGGGCTGGGCTCATATTGTACATTCTGAGCTTATGAAATCTGTGGCCCAAGCAGGCAAAGGACTATGGGTCCTTGCTTGGCCCTCAGGCCATCCATTATTATATTCCCCAATCAAGCTCCACCTTCTCCCCCAGATGCAAAAGCTGCTTTTCTGCCTCTTTCAGACCCCGTGATGCACTGCTGCACTTGTCATGCTACTAAATCTTTCTGGGTCAGGGATTTAGCTCAGTGGTGCCACTGCCTGCCTCGCAAATGCAAGGTCTTGAGTTCAATCCCTGGTACCAAAAAAAAAGAAGCAAAAAAAAGTAGCAATAAATCTTCCTGCTACATTGGTCATCTCTGGGTTTTAAATCAGCCTAACATTTGTCCTTGCTGCTGCTGTGCTCCCTCACCCTGTCCCTCCTCTCCAATCCAGGTAGCCATCCTCTGAGTAGTCTCTAGTTCTCCGGAGGACTTGGCTAATTTCTTTAGTGTGTCCATCTGTAAATCCTAGCACTAGGTCTTGGTTCTTCTGTCCTGGGGCACGGTCCCTTTGACCTGGTCCTTTAGGAAGCAGGGGACACTGGTCTCCCACTGGTAGCCACCCTTACTGAGAGAACACTTGGAGACACGGGGTGCTGTTTCTCTGCTCTTTTCCCTTCCATCTGGCTAGGGACCCCACCACTCTGCTATGGACAATTCCAATTCGTCCCTCGGACTACTCAAAGACTCGCCTTTCTTCTGCTCCTTAACATCTTAAAAAAAAATCTCTCTCTCAGAGGGGGATACATCAAACCAAAAAATTTTATTTTTTCCATAATATGGTTTAATAGATGATTATCAACAACGCAAACATGGGACCTTTGACGTCTGAATATCTTAAAATTTAAACAGATTTATCCAGCACAATGGCCATCCGTCCAAAGTTCCCTCTTGTAGGCTTTCTTTTACCTTCTCAGTCAACTTCCTCTCAATCCTGCAGTTTTCCAAATTCTTCCTCCTCACAGTCGAGTAGAGCTGACTCTAATGCTGTCCTTGAACCTGAAATCTATCCCACCAACTGCACCCCCACTGCCCTAAGCCCCCAGGCCCCACCCCCTCTTCTCTGCCCACCACGCTCTTGTGCCCAGCAACTCCCGCTAAACTTGGTCCTCAGCGGGGTCTGTCCCGCCCTCCAGGAGGCCGCAGGGGCAGAGGACACGATCCACATTCCTGCTCCTTTCTCCCTCTTTGACGCTTCCCAAATTAAAATGCCTGGGGTTCATCACCTTCAGGCCCGCAGTCTTCCCCGCATGCACTGGGTGACTCCCAGTCTTTCTCCCGCTCCAACTCTGATGCCCTTCCTGCTCTAACTAGTAAGGCTCTGCACTGTTACAGGAGGCTGCTACTGCGACTCACCTAAGGCACACTCAGGCACCCTGGAGAGAAGTGTCCTGTGTGTGCCCGGTTTCTCCACAGTAGGGTGCAAGAGGCACAGCGCGTGGTGGGCGGTGGGTGCAGGGCTGTGTTGCAGAGGGACAAGTGCAGTGCGGTGGCAGCGGAGAGCCCTGTGGTCTTCAGCACCACGCTTGATGCTGAACATGAGGCAAGCGGCCCAACTGGACACAGACTTCGGTTTCCCGCTTCCTGGGACGACTCAGTTTAGGCCACGCTTCCGCTCCGCGGCACCTGCACTCGGGAGGGTGCGTGGTGAGAAAGCTCCTGCCCCGGAGAAGAGCGCGAGCACAGCTGGAGGGAGACTTGGGGGTGGGGGAGCCTCACTTCCTGGCCACAGGCTCCGGGCACGGCCGGACAGCACTGTTGGCACGGCGTCAGGCACTGCGACTGCCGGATGGCAGCGTTCAGGGGGAGTCAAGCAGCTCCAAACTCACGGTCGTCCCTGCCCCCTCAGCTCGTGACTGCTGCACACGAGTTAGCTCGTCTCCCTCAGCTTGGCAGCAGCCCCAGGGCAGCCTTCCTGGGGCCCCTTCTCTGACCTTACTGCTCAGGGGGAGACAGCCCTGGTGTCCATGAATCCAGCAAGTGCAGCCAGGGCGGTCTGCCCCTCCCTCACATCTCAGGAGGCTGTGCTGTCGTCTCCCGCAGATCAAGCGGCTCATCATGAAGTACATTGAAAAGGCTGAGACCATCAACTTGGTGGTGGTCCCCAGCAACGTGGACATTGCCACCACGGAGGCTCTGAGCATGGCGAAGCAGGTGGATCCCGAAGGAGACAGGACCATAGGTGCGGAGTGGGGCTGAACTGGTGGCTGGGGTGCCCGTGGGAAGGTGGCTCCGAAGCCAGGGCTGGCTCTGCATACAGAGAGTGGGGGCCTGCACCCCGCAGGAGGAGCCGCCCGGACGCCCACAGCCAGGAGGAGCGCGCCCTCTCTGGCCCTTGTGGCCACCATTTGACTGGTTCTCTCCACCTTCCTGCTGTGGTGGGCTCAGGGCAGTGGGCAGGCAGGGCCAGGGCATGAGGGCGTCGAGTTCACTGGGAGCCAAAGGAGCAGGGAGCAAGTAGATGTCCCTGGGGATGTGGCGTGCACAGTGGAGTCTCCTCGCCCAGCACTGGGGAAGGTAGGGGGAAGAGCCCCTGGTGCAGGCGCTGCCCTCTCGTGGCTGCCCTGTAGGGCTCTCCAGCTCGGTGGACCAAGCCCTGGGCCCCTGGGCCCCTGGGCCGGGCAGGAGCCACCCTGGCCTCCATCTGGGGACTGTGTGAGTCCCCTGACCAGGAGTCTCGGTGCAGGGATCCTGACGAAGCCCGACCTGGTGGACAAAGGCACGGAAGACAAGGTGGTGGACGTGGTGCACAACCTGCTGTGCCCCCTGAAGAAGGGCTACATGGTGGTCAGGTGCCGCAGCCAGCAGGACATCCAGGCACGGCTGAGCCCGGCCGAGGCCCTGCAGAGGGAGCAGGCCTTCTTTGAGGACCACCCTCTCTTCAGGTGCGCTGCACTTCGAGTCCTGGGACAGTGCCGCCAGGGACATCTGTCCCCGCCAGGGTGACTTAGCCTGGAAGGCGGCTGTCGGGTGTGCAGGAGTGTGAGCGTGTGTGAGCATGTGTGTGAGCGTGTGCGTGTTCCGTGGAAATGGCCTGTAAAATTAAAAGGAGAGTTCACAAAAGATTGCAAAAAGCAAAAGAAAACATCAGTGACCATGAGGGGGGACGTGGCTCTGTCACCACACACAGCGGGGCTGGGAGCCAAAGCGACAGAGACGTGACGAGAGAAGACAGCAGCCCGACACAGCCACTCGTGTGTGTTGGACCTGTGGAAAATGGGCCAGTTCTGACCAGTGAAGGGCACAGGAGGTGGGGCTGTCAGGGGTCAGTGCTCCCAGGAGGCTGCAGGGAGGCGGCCTCAGAAGCGCAGGCGAACCTCGCATGCACACTGGAAGGAGCCGGGTCCGTGGCAGAGACACCAGGGTCGCCCGAGCTGGGCAGTCTCCAGCCTCGGGAAGGAGGGGTCCCCTGCCAGCTGCAGCGCGGGGGGCCTGGAGGACGCCAGGCTGAGCGAGGCAGCCCAACATCGCGGGCCTGAGGCTGGGTGGCCCACTGAGTGAGGCCCCTGGCCACCACCTCAGGCAGGGAGAGGCGGACACCAGGCTGGAGGGGCCAGGGCGTGGGTGTGGGCAGTTTCATCTGCCCATGAGGAGGCGCCGGAGGACAGGGTGACCCTGAAGGAGCTTGATGCCACCGAACTGGCACCAAAATCGTTCCAAAGGCCACCTCACCGCATGTGTATTTTATGTTGTTTTGAAAAAGAAAATCACTGTGGAGATGGAAGCTTGGCACCCGTGTGCTGTCACAGCCAGGCCTGAGCTTGGCTCCCCCCCTCTGTCACCCTGAACGTTCCCGTCCCCGTCAGGGGGCACACAGAGGCGGGCAGCGTGACAGGACAGCGAGCCCTCCCTGCTCCTCACATGGTGCCCTTGGGTGCAGCCGGCTCTGTGCACACAGAGGGACAGAGGGTGCTCACACCAGCCGGACGCTCGGAAGGGGCGTGTGCAGGTGCACGAGCTATGAAGACGCGTGCAGCGTGGGCTTGGGAGGCGCAAGTCTGCTCGGAGACGCTTCTGTGCCAAGCTGGGCGGGAGCACACAGCAGTAGCAATGCGGAAGGGTGGAATGAGCAGCTCTGCCGAGTGGGCCGGGTCTTCCCCCGTCAGCCTTTCTCTGGGAGCACCTGAGCTGGGCTTGGCCTCCCCGCATGCGCCCCAAGGCCTCTCTCTCTGGCCCCCTCAGGGTGCTGCTGGAGGAAGGAAAGGCCACGGTCCCCCGCCTGGCGGAGAGACTGTCCTCTGAGCTCATCACACACATCTGTGTAAGTCTGGCCGGGCCCTGTGTCCCCTAGAGGGTCCCGCAACACCAAGAGGAGAGCGGGTTGCAGTCTCGAGGACTGTGATGGTGAGGGCAGAGCTCACCCGGGCCACCCCAGGGGCAGGAGCTCGCTGCCTGTGGCCCGGCCCTGAGCGGGCCGTGCTTCCTGGTCCTGTGCCTCCACCCTGGGCCAGGATCCTAACCCTGAGCTCAGGTTTTCTTTCCTGAGGCCCAATCCGGCATCCACGCACCGTCTGCTCCAGCCCCGGGCGACCCCCGTGTCCCGGCTCCAGCCTCCTAGTGACCCGCATCACCCTGCCACCTGGAGCCCGGGAAGGGACCATGCTAACATCCGGGCCAGCGTGGTCCGTACACCCAGGCAGGCCCGGGGGCGGGAACACGATCCTGCTGCTTTGCCCCAGGAGAAAACGGTGTGAACGCGTGGGGGCTGCACTTGTCCCAGCAGCCACTTTTCCTGACAGAGCATCAGGCCACTGTCCCTGCCGAGGAGTCGCAGCAGGAGCTGCCTGGGTGGCCCTCAGTGGGCCGGGCACTGCGCGGTGGGCGCCTCTGTGTGGCTCGCGGCTGGTTGCCAGGGAGATGGGAGGCCCTGCTGCGCCTCCCTCTCTGCCCCAGGACCCCGAGGTGTCACCCGGACCAGGCAGAGCAGGCCGGGCCTCCCCTCCGTTCCGAGTCCAGGTTTCTAGGTCCCACTTTGTCTCTTGTGCTCCAGAAATCTCTGCCGCTGCTGGAAAATACAATAAAGGAGCGGCACCAGAAAATAACGGAGGAGCTGCAAAAGTACGGCATGGACATCCCAGAGGACGGAAATGAGAAAACGATCTTCCTGATCCAGGTGGGGCTCGCGCTGCCTGGCCCTGGAGACGCCTGCGCCTCTGTCCCCGGCAGCCCGCGCCTGCACCTGCCGCCCTCGCCCGCTCCAGGCTCCTCCTGACTCGCTGCGCCCGCTCCGCACGGAGAAGGGGCCGGCTGGAGGCAGAGGCCAGGAGCCCTGCTCGGGGCCTGGACGCTGAGCAGCCGGCACTGGGTCGGAGGGCAGCTGGGAGCTCGGGCTCTCCTGGCGGCACAGCCTCCTCCCGCCGCCAATGCAGAGTGGCCACCGGGAGGCGCACGCGACCCAGCATCGGAACGTCTCTGCTGTTTCTCTTCTTGACAGAAAATCAGTGCATTTAACAAGGACATCCGTGCTCTAGTCGAGGGCGAGGAGAGCGTGGGCAAGAATGGGACCCGGCTGTTTGCCAGACTCCGGCAGAAGTTCCAAGGCTGGAACTCCATGATCGAAGAGCACTTTGAAAAAGGTGAGTGTGTGGGCCGATCGTGCTGCTGTAACTGAGCGCCTCGGCGAGGGCCGTTTATGAAGGGCAGGGCCCGCTGCCCACTGCAGATGCCCAGAAGCCCAAGGTCCCGGCGCCCGTGCCCTGGGTGTCTGCTGAGGCTGGGGCTCTGCAGCTGCGGGCTCTCCAAGGTGGCGACCTCTGGCGGTGGCCTCACCTGGAGGAGGGAAGGAAGCTTGTCTGGCCTCTCGTCTAAGCACACGCGGTCTGTTTGTGGAGGTGCAGCCCCCACGACCTGACATCTTCTTAAAGACCGCTCTGAATGGCGCCACCCTGTGGGTGAAGTTTCAACATCTGAACCTGGGGGCCACGTTGACCCCGCCAGTGAGGCAGGGTGCAGTCCAGTGTCCGGTGTGGTCCATGAGGACCCAGAGCAGCATGGTGTGAGTGGGAGGAGGACCGTGGGAGTGGGGCATCGTCAACACGGAACCCGCCCTGGCTCTGTTCCTTGTCGGGAGCGAGGCTGCCCAGCACCTATGACTGATTGCCAGGGACACGTGTACCCTGGTCAGCTTCCCGCTGCTGACGCCCACAGCGTAGAGGACGCGGGGCGGTCTGCCTGGCCCACAGTTTCAGAGGTTCAGTCCGTGGTCAGCCGGCTCCAAGGCAGAAATGTCATGGCGGAAGGGCCAGGCAGAGCAAAGCTGCTTCCTTCATGGTGGCTGGGAAGCTGAGCACGGGGGAAGAGCAGTGGAGAGAGATGTGGCTTCCCCAGGTGCACCGCGAGACTCACTCCTCCAGCTGGGCCCTCAGCGCATTCATTGATGAAATTGGGTGCAGTGCCCCATGATCATCACATCTCAGGAGCCTGTTACTCCACCTGGTTGGTGATCAGGAGACTCTGATTAGCAGTCAGCATGCATCATGGCTGCAGAGGATCCGACCTCACTGGTTGGGGTAGTTGGGTGGGTGTGAGCTCCCTGCTCTCCATCAGGAGTGGAAGCCCTGCTGGAGCAGTGATGGTCGTGTTTCTTCACCCCGCTAACGACCTCATCTGCCTCTTTTTTAAAAAAATGTATTGGCCCATTTTAGGTATACGACACAGTTACATTCATCATTGGGATCTTGTACCTTTACATGAGTCTCTTGGTTCTTATTTTTTCCCCCTTCCCCTGCCCTCCCTTCACCCCCTCCACCCCTCCCTATTTACAGAGACTTCTGTTTCCATTTTTTCCTTTTCTCATAGTTTTCCTTTCCCCT